GCGCCCACGGCCAGGCCCCAATCTCATTCAGAGATTTTCTGGCATTTACTTAAGTCTGTGAAACCCTCACTTACATTACAGCACGGTTTGATTTACAAACGTTTATAGATCTGCGAGATTTGCATTGATTAATAATATGCACTGTGCTGTATTCCCTAGAGTATTTCTATACCAGACGATTGCACAATATTATACTCCCACAGTCTTCCCGGTTCACATTAACTATGATCTCACTCGTATTACTGGTAAAGGGTGGGCGACTTTATCCACCACTCATATGGAAACCCATGCTCACTTTCTGTTTGCAAAAGACACAAAATGACTGAATTTCAGCAAGCTACAAGTAAATCAGAGGCGGGAACTAATCAGGCTTCAGATATTAACCCACGCCGCCGGACACGTTTCATTGCATTTCACACCTAGTGACTCATGGCAACTCAAACTCTATTAGAATATAACAGGCGTAAGATGCTCAATCCATAGACAGTGTTTACGTGGTGCATAAAGTCCAGAAAGTGTCTGTCTTTACCTGCTAATGCACGGAGTGTCAAACTGGGAGGTGGCTTCTTCTTCTTCTTCTTGAATGTCCTCATTGTAAAAATGCAAGCTAAATAATCAACTGCGCAGTTTGTTTCGCCTCGCGCGGTGAATGGACGGCGCAGCGCGCGATCCGCCAGCACCTTCATCATGTCATACATGAGCACATTTGAATCGCACACTGTAAAATGTCGACGCAGCTGCGTTATGAAACCACTGTAAGAGGAGATGATGTGACACAAACATCAGCGCGCAAAATTGTTCCAGAGTATTCTTTAAAAAAAAAAAAAAAAAAAAACGCCCGCACGCATCTCGCGACTTCTCTGTGGTCTACAAATATGATGGTGCGGTTTCGGCCAGGCGAGGATGGTGCCACGGCGCGAGTCCCTCATGTCCACTCACGAGTTTCATCTGAGGAGCAGATGCGCGTTTGGAAATTGCGCAGTTGTTAATCCGCTGCAAACGCAGGCACTCCCCTCTCTCTCTCTCTCTCTCTCTCTCCCGTCTGTTTCCCCCTGCACTCTTTCGCTGCTTCCCCTTCTCTTGTTCCTCCTCCCTCGCACTCGTTTCCCCCCACATGCAGGTTTATTTTCGGTGGACGAGCCTCTCTTGGACCCGCACCGCCCCGCCTCCGTTTCTCCCGAACGCTCAGGACTTCCAAATTCCACCATCACTCACTCCGTCCGAGCAGAGATCAGGGTGTCCGTTCCCAGGGCTGCTTTGGGGGGATAATGAGGGGCTGCTAGTGTTGACGGGGATGGATTGATTTTGTGTCATTTACAGTGAATTAACCCCTTTCTATTGTTTTAAGATTATGATATTTATTCGGTAAAAAATTTAATACAAGAAACGTTTATACCTGAATCAGTGTTTGTGACATTGTCCAGTGTCTAAAAATAAAAATAAGTTATATATATAAGTTTTTAGAAAATAACTACATTATACCATATTGGGTGAACCTGCCATGGGCTATTCATCTTAAAATAGATTATAGCTTTTAATAGAAACATTTTTCAAATCGGACTCAAAAATATTTGACAATTTCTAGCTCCTCATTCTGTTCTCCATAAGAATTTAACCTGGGGCTATTTTCTATCAGGAAAAAAACAAAAAAAAACTACAGCACTTTTAGTAGTACAACAAACTGAATGAATGGATTTGTTGCCGGTGTGCAAAAATATGGGTCAATAATATTGACTGCTTCTATAAAACTGGTAATTTATTTGTGAAATATGGTTAAATTCATTATAAAATACATTAGATACTATGAAATGCCTGAAGTTAAAAAAAAGGACATCCTGTGCATTTATTTGAAATGTTTCTCAAGAATGTACAATTGATATAAAATTATTATTATTAATGCATTATTTATAAACTTGTTTGTGCATAATGCAGTTTGGGACAAGATTTTCTCTCTTTTCTCATTAGGGTGTCTTTAAACCACCCGGATGGACGAGTTTATCACTTATTTTTGACTAAACTGTATTTTTATTAAATAAATGTATAGCCCTGGTGAACATAGGAATCTTCTGTCAAAATTAATAGTAATAATAATTTCCTATTTATAAACAACATTTTGCACTATAAGTTTGGGACCAGATTTGTTTGGGACCAAACATTTCAATGTTATTTTAATGTTCAATGAATTTTAATGTTAATACTTTTAATTGAATGTTTTGTGGGTCAAATGTAATTCAAAGATCACAGGTGGGCATTGTTTCAACAGTTGATGAGTTGAGGGCCATGTGTGTGGGGGGGTGTTTTCAGTATATTCCTGGAATGTCTGTGGTCGGTGCTTTACTGCCATAATTGAATACACAGATGGAGCACGTTTGATGCAATATTATACAGAGAAGAGCTAACTCAATTATGTCGGTTCAAATGTAGCAAGACTCGGGACTGGTGTCCCCAAGGGACCCAAATCACTCAAAAGGCAAATCAGATTGTCCACCTGTCCTCAGCTGGTGCTTCCAGATCATTATTAAGTTCTCATCTGGTGTCTGAGAGGAGGGTACAGAAATCTGGACAGAACTCAGACGGTCCAGATTTTACATTCATGCTTTTGCATCTCTCCACGAGCCGCCCCGGAGCAACAAGTGTCAGATTCATGCGAGGAAATGCCAGTTGTTTCTTGTGAAACGACCCCTCTCACAGTCTCAGTGGGTCTTAGGTGGGAACATTGGGGTGATAAATAAACCCTGGGGACTTCATCCTCCTTTTTGCGACTCAAAAGATGTCTTTCTCTCCCTTCCTCTTTTTAACTTACATTTTTTTACGAAAAAAAAAAATCTGAAGTACTCTAAAAGAACACAATGGCGCCTTGGAGGCCAATTTGAATGTGAATTAGACATGTTGCTATGAGCACCCCAACAACCAGTTAGAGGTACAGAGACACAGACCTGTGGCTGAATAAAGAGCTCCTTACAGTCTGAGCAAGTCTGGCTCTTTCAGAAGAGGATGGCAGAGTGAATGCAGCCTTACACGGAGGCCACCCTCACTCTTGCTTTCTCTCTCTCTCTCCTTCCCTCAGAACTATTCTTCTGTTCCAGTTTCTCTGCTCTCTTGTTCTCTTCTTCCAAGAATTTCCTTCAATCTTCTGAGTGTCCTGAGAAGATTGCCGCTCCTCTCCCCCCTCCGGCTCTAAAGAACAAATATAGCCGTATACGTCAATCATCAAGGTCCAATCTGACTGGAAAAGTGGAGTGAATGACCACAGTTGTCAGATTTGAAGGAATAATTCCTGTGGATACAGATGGTTTGGCGGTAAATGTCAACTAATTGGATCACAGTTGCACAATTTTGCGAATTTTCTGAAATGACAGTGTCCTCTATTTCTAGAAATTTGACATGTGAACTCAACTGAGTTAGCTGGATTTGCTGATTTGACACAATCCTGGATTGTTCGGTTCATCTCAGAGTTGTTGTCACAGCAACAGGTCTGTAAGCACAAACCTACTGGGAAACAGGATTAGATTGTGGCTTCACCTCCTCATTCTTTCAAGAGCACCCTTCTATATCATACAAAATAGCCAATCCTTCCAACGTTTTACTTATTACCATTACTTCATATATGTTGAAGCCTCTATAGAACAAAATGTTGTACTTTTGAACTTTTTATTCATCAAAGAATCCTGAAAATAGTATCATGGTTTCCACAAAAAAAAAAAAATATTAAGCAGCACAACTGTTTTCAGCATCGATAACAATAAGAAATGTTTCTTAAGCACCAAATCTGCATATTAGAATGATTTCAGAAGGATTGTGATTAACAGCTGCTAAAAATTCAGCTTTGCCATCACAGGAAAAATAAACAAATACATGATTTAAAATGGAAAATAGTTACCTTAAATTGCATCAATATTTCACAAACAATAAGCTTTTGATCAACAAATGAAGCCTTGGTGAGCATAAGAGAATTCTTTCAAAAAACAAACAAACAAACAACAATCTTACCCAAACTTTTTAACTGTAGGGCAAATATGTTTATATTTTAAGACTATATGATGCCAACTTATTACATTGCACTGTCGTTCGTGGTTTTGAATATTGCTGTACAGTATGTTTACCATAAATGCATTAGTGCATATCTGCCACGAACATCAGATGCTACAAACCAAATTCTATTTGAAGCAAAACAAATGGCTTAGAACAAAAACATTTTTAAAAAGAGAAAAAGGCAGGTTCCTCTAAAAAATTAAATGGTAGAAAATTGTCACTGAAAATATGAATTAATAAATGTGACCCTGGAGCACAAAACTAGTCTTAAGTCGCTTGGGTATATTTGTAGCAATAGCCAAAAATACATTGTATGGGTCAAAATTATGGATTTTTCTTTTATGCCAAAAATCATTATAATATTAAGTAAAGATCATGTTCCATGAAGATATTTTGTAAATTTCCTACTGTAAATATATTTCAACTTAATTTTTGATTAGTAATATGCATTGCTATGAACTTCATTTGGACAACTTTAAAGGTGATTTTCTCAATATTCAGATTTTTTTTGCACCCTCAGATTCCAGATTTTCAAATAGTTGTAGCTCGGTCAAATATTGTCCTATCCTAACAAACCATACATCAATGGAAAGATTATTTATTTATTGACCCTTATGACTGGTTTTGTGGTCCAGGGTCACAAATGAATAAATAAAACTACACATTCAAAGACTCAGAAGAAAGAAGAACTTATATTCCAGTTCAGTTCATTTCAGAGATCTAAGCAACAAGTCAATTGTAGTGCCACCTTGTGACCGATTCTCACAAAATTCGATACACAGCATCTTGCTGACATCCTGCAGGCATTTACTTAATTTCATGATGATTGTCCCATCAAGTGAAATTATTGGTTGTTAATTTTGTTATGTCTGGACAATTTACAACAACACTGAATGTGAAAATGTTTTATTAAACATTTAAATGAATTCACAATTCCTCAAGTTCATAAAATGTAACAAATTGCCTGTGTTTTCATTTCAGCTCTTGGATTTAGCACATATTAAATTATCTCCTTAAATTAAATTTACTTGTGCTTGTGCTCTGTTGTGCATTGTATAAAATTAGATATGGAGTGTTAGTTAAGTGTCACTGAAAGTGTGTGTGTGAGTGTGTTTAGTTATCAAGGCTCATGAGCAGAGCGGTTCCTCTCTTGATCCAGTGATCATAAGGCACAGCTCCAGACTTCAGATCAACTGCCACCACAAATGACGGGCGACCACTACCGCCGGACCGCACAGGGTAGTAGTAGCAGGGACAGGAGTACATATCTGCCCAAACACACACACACACACACACACCATAGATCATGACATACTCCTAGATCGATTACAAAACTATACAGGTATTCAAGGGCAGGCTTTAAGATGGTTTAGATCCTACCTGTCCGATCGCTACCACCTTGTTCATTTAAATGGGGAGTCATCTCAATTATCACCAGTAAAATATGGAGTGCCCCAAGGATCTGTCCTAGGTCCTCTGCTATTTTCGATATACATGTTGCCCCTTGGTAATATTATTAGAAAATACGGGAATGCCAACCCCTCAGAGGACCTCAGATGATGCCAACCCTGAAACAACATACAGAACTACCACATTTTGCTATAAGTTTGATTGCATCATATAATAATTGCTGTTAATAGTGTTCATCGTCTGTTTTATTACGACTTTAATTGATTTTTCCGTACATTTTTGCCATATGTACATTAATTGACAGTCACCACTGATAAGCTACCACTAAATATTAGTGGGCACCTGAGACTTGTACAAATCTTGTAGAAAGGCGTATAATAGGTGCCCTTTATGAACTACTAACAATAGTCAAGAAAATATTTGACTGTGCCCACAAAAACTACTAAACAACTAAAGGGAAAATTACAAATGTTAACATAGATCCCTGGCATGGGCTGTTTTTCTGCTTTGGAGGCATGCCACATGAGTAGTGACAGAGAGGGAAAGAGAGAGAGAGAGTGAGTGAACGAGCAAGACTGAGAGAGATGCAAATATCATGTGCATCAGCTCCTAATGGACAGCGGATGGCAGCAGTTACTCACCTTGGGAGGGAAAAGCAGATTCTTGTCATCCATAGTGTTGACAGTGAACTCCCAGGATAGAGTGTCTACAGACACCTACACAGCAAACACAATGCTGATATCAGAATCACTGCCAGCAGAAAAAAAAGCTTGTTTCCCTATGGGGACCTCAATTTAGGTCCCCACGGTTACACGAGTCGGTGTGTATTCAGGTTTAAGTCCCCACCAGGATAGAAAAAACATGTACACACACACACATACATACACAGTGCTGCCAAGATCTGGCCACTTTAAGTGTATCCTCAGTTCTTACTAGCCACCTGTCGGTTTGTGGGGACATTACACATTAGGACATTTGTTTTTCAGGCCATTTGCTGCAGAATTGGCTGCCCCGAAGTGTCGCAGGTGTCTCTTGATCATAAGATGCAGCTCATTTTGCTGCTGTGCTCCTGAAGCCTGAACTGAGCAGAGTGTGATTTTGGGGGAGCGTTTGAGAACTCCTGTTTGTAGATCCCAAAAGGAACCGAGAATAAACACCATCACTGGGGCATTAGAAAGGGTAATGGAGTAGGAATGTGCTGCGTCCCCTGCAGAATGTGTGAGTAAGTGAATGTGAATGCAAAGTGTCAGTGAATGTAATGCGGTAAAAATGTGTTACCGTGCATGTACTCAAATGAATTATAGACCATTGGTTTGCTGTCTGAAGTCCATATGAGAAATATAATGCAGCATTTATAAAAAAAAAAATCCTCTTGGCAAGTTTCCATTTGTGAGTTTGGAAATCGTAATTATGAAGTGATGTGCACTGAATTGATTTTGTTCAGAATAAAATGAACAGAGCAATTTCATACTTCTTTCTCTCTCTTTAAATCCCCAGGAAGATGTTTTAGAGGCTGGAGCACCAAAATGAAGCGCAGAAGACTGACATTAGGTGTGTAATTGATGCTTTATCTGTGTGTATTTTATCATTCTTGTGCTTCTACAGAGAATGATGGGGACTATTGCTCAGACACAAGCCTGTTGCCTCATAATCCGGCTGAATGAGTTGTACTGCATTTTGTGGCATGGAATGCATGGAAATTAATTGTACAGTTAACATTCACAGTTACAATAGGAATTTGTTTCTGCCATGATTCTGTAATTTTTTTAAAGGGATAGTTCGCCCAAAAATCATTATTTACTTTAAAATAATTGTTTATGTACAAAAGACGATATTTTTTTAAATGTTGCATTGTTGTTTTGACCATACAGTGAAAGTCAGTGGGGTTCAATGTTGTTTTGGACCCCACTGACTTTCATTACACAGATTCTGAATCTGGTTCAGATAGTTACCTAGTTACTTTAGATAGTTACAGTATACTACCATTCAAAAGTTTGGGGTCAGTAAGATATTGTTAACAAGTGTCTTATGCTCACCAAGGCTAGATTTATTTGATCAAAAATACAGTAAAACAGTAATATTGTGAAATACAATTACAATTTAAAATGACTGTTTTGCATTTGAATGTATTTACAATTTGTATTTATTTCTGTGATGACATAACTGAATATCTGTCAGGACCACTATCGTCAAAGATGACTGACAATTAGCATACAGTTTGGATTGGCGGTATGGTTCTGTTCTGGGCAAGAACTTCCCTGCACATCCATGCAGCCTAGCATGGATGAGAGCAGGGAGAGCAGCGACCCCCCCCCCCGCTTGATTTTTAGCAGCATTTACAACAGTCTTCAGTGTCACATGATGCTTTAGAAATCATTCTCATAATATGCTGATTTTCTACTCAAAAAACATTTCTTATTATCAGTGCTGAAGACAGCACTGATAATCTTTATTTTTTATTTTTTTATGGAAACCAGTATTCTTTGATGAATATAAAGCTACGAAACAGTATTTCTTTGAAATAGAAATATTTTGTAACAATGTAAAAGTTTTTACTGTCACTTTTGATCAATTGAATTGGTCCTTGCTGGGAAAAAAACAACAACAACTTCCTCACACCAAACGTTTGAATAGTAGGATATCACTGACTGAGCTCTCTAGTGTGTGTGACTGAGTAAGTATAAGAGGACACTGATGTCCTGAGAGTGTGCTAAGACTCTGTTAAGCATGTACGAGTCTCGTGATGTGTTGTTAACTGTATGAGTGTGCGAGTCTCACATTGTTCTGGCGTGCAAAGCTCTGCAGTACAGCGGTGAGGAAGCCCGTAGGGAAGGTAAATCCAGACAGCCAGAAGAGGACAGGAGGGTGAGCAGTTGGAGGGGCCCAGCGAGCAAACTGCTCCACGTGCTGGCACAGGTACCTTGTCCAAGACGCCAAGGGCTTCAGAGATGGGTACGCCTAAGGATGGAGAGCGTCTCATTACTGATGCGTGTCTTTTTTAGTGGTGTAATTAAAATTATCTTACTGTTCTACAACAGTATTTGCTCTCAGCAGGAACTTGACACCAGATGAATGAAATCTTGTCAAGGGCATAACATCAACTTCAAATGGCACAAAATAGCTTGGTGACATCTATCTCCGCTTACAGTAAGGCCTTTCTTTGAATATTGTGTAATGCAGAGTTCAGCTGGTTTATGAGAACTGTCGCTCAAGGCCATTGAGGAGGATACAAAGGAAGAATTTATGCGGGTTTGGATGAGATGCATTACTGTCTGTCATGAAGAATACCTTGAGTGACTGAACTGCAGAATATAATATTACATCTGGACTTGAACGATTTTTAAACAAATCTTACATAACCAGTTGAAACTGAGCAATTAAACTAACATAAATCTGATGGTGCAGAACAGTATGGTGCAATGTTTTCTCAAATTCATGGGACTGAAGAAATTATTCACCCTTCAATATTATTTTTGGTGTTCAAAGAACAAAGATATTTGGTTTTGATAAAAAAAAGAGAAAAAGAAAAATCAAACATGAGTCAAAGGACTTGATTTGTGCCAAAGGAATTAGCATTTCAAATGCATGATTAGTTTAATTTCACGCTGCGCCATAAAAAAAATCCGTTATGCATTTAGGTTCTCGCTGACATGAGAATGAGAACATTTTGAGATATTTCTAGGCAGAATAAACGTTGTCGCTTTTACCCTTTGAAACTGGGACAACACGGAGTGTTATAAATGAGGATAAAAGGTTTTGATGGAGTATCTGCTGATGTTTTAATCTGATCTAGCACTCAAGCGCAGTAGTTCCCAAACTTTACCACCACCCACTCACCAAATTGAAGCTGTGCATGAAAATGGGGTGCCCTAAATAATCAACTAAACCCTTGCTCCGACAATGCAGCACAGAGGTGGTATAAATGTATTGACAAATTAATCACAATCGTGGGAACAAGTGTATGATGTCCAATGTTGATTTTCTTAACTAGGCAGTTTAAAGACAAAGTTTGGCAATTAACTGAAACAATATAAGTTTAAATGGAAGTATTAAAATGACTAAAATACACAAACAAATGCTAAATAGAAATAAAGCCTAATCAAAAGAACACAAAATTATTAAAACTGAAAATACAAAAATAAAAACTTATTCAAAATTTTAAGTAGTAGTAAATGTAAGTAAATTATACTAAAATAACACTCATTTGGCACGTGTGGACCTAAGTTTGCACAAAGTTCATCAAAAGAATGAAGGTTATACACTCTTATTTTGTTTTCAATAAGGAAAATTATACTTGTGGTACTTATGAAAATAAGAAGGGCTATTTGAACAAAAGCATTTGTAAAATGCTAATTTAGTTCTGTCACTAATACTTGTAATGTCACATTTTATTAATCAATAAGCTAACATGAATAACATCAAAGTAATTTTCCACCATTACATATATTTACCTTGGTGCATCATATGGAGGCCTGGAGCTAACTATGTAATGAAGACACATTGTGAGATATAAAGTCCTACTTTTGAGAAACAAAGCCACAATTACCTTTTTAATAATTTTTACTCAGAAATGGGCTTCCACAGATTGGAAACCACAGATCCCAGGTCAGCGAAAAAAGAACACAAGATTCAATAAATGGTGGGAGTGTTATCTTTTAATAGCCTTTAAGGTCACAACGGGTTATGTCAACAGTGTCAAAGTGACATATGAGGCCCGACACCGTCACCACTCACAAGCCAGCAGTTATAAAGAGCATGAAAGAAAGCAAGATGGGAGAAAAAAGTGAAATGATGAGTGAAGAACAGCAGGAGAGAGTCAGTGGCAAATGAAAGTCATACATCTCAGCAGAGATACAACGAGTCACAGCCAAAATATAACAGTGGACACAGTGGACAGAGACAGAGGAACTGTGCGTTCAGTGTTAAAGATAGGCTGACGGATGGAGAGAGAAGGAAAGAGAAAAAGAGACAGACAGTAATGAGGCACCACAGACGGCAGAAGGACAGTCCCAGCTGGAGAGGAAGTCTTAATGGATGCTTTCCACTTATTTTGTAAAAGAGGGGCAGAAAGACAGAAAACGAGACAGTGGGATGGATGGATTGGCATTTGGATCAGTATATAGGCCATACGCTTACTGAAGTAAACATGGTTTTGTTTATTCAGTTTATTTGAGTCCAATTACCCTTAGCAATGAACCAAGAAGCCTACACACACACACAAATCTACATCAGAATAGTAAGGCTGTACTGTATCACACAAGGTCTAACATACAAGACTGTCCATGTTGACCTAAACCCACACACATGGGCATCAGTAACACATCTTGTAAACCGAGGCCTGTGCATTCTTGACATGAATTGAGCATGAGCGTCGATAACAAACACAAAGAGTGTTTAAACCCAAGACGAGTGTGTTTAATCCTCTAAATGCGGCTCTGTTCACCTCATCTTTCACAGAGCAATCCTTTCAACCATTCATTCACACACTCCTGTTGCTCTCCGCTGAACACACACCTCTGACCTCACAGCCCACTTTCACACACTCATGCAGGGCTGTATTACAACTACAACATGACCTGGTGTGTGTGATTCATAGAGTTATGAAGAATTGTTCCAAAACCTAGTGAGATGCTTACCTAGATAGCATTTTAAAGGAAGCAGAGGGAGCATATGTTACCTTCTAAGATAATTTGTTTTGGCCAAATTGTAAGCATTCATAGTTTTCAGTCACGTGACTGGCTCGAAGACCTGGCGGGCAAAACATCCATGGAACTGCAGCACAAGCCTGTCAATTTTCCATTTGTTTCCAATCCACAAACATTTAGATAATCTCTCAAAAGGATAAAACAAAGATATGTGAACAAAATGCAAGTTTTGGCCATTTGCAATACATATAAAACACCCGCTGCAATATTTCAATTAAAAACAGCGACATTCTAAAATGTTTAATGTGAAAAAAACATCCATGGAACTGCAGCACAAGCCTGTCAATTTTCCATTTGTTTCCAATCCACAAACATTTAGATAATCTCTCAAAAGGATAAAACAAAGATATGTGAACAAAATGCAAGTTTTGGCCATTTGCAATACATATAAAACACCCGCTGCAATATTTCAATTAAAAACAGCGACATTCTAAAATGTTTAATGTGAAAACACTTAAAGTGCCATCAAATTCAGTATACACTTTACTGATGATGTGTGCTTTATACAGGCAAGCAGATGAGCTTGGAATATGAACGCAATGCGCTAAATGGTTTAGTGTTTTCTTTATAATGGTTTTCTATGGGAAAACATTTAATGTGAAACTTTGCAATTGCGTTTATATTCTGGGCTCAACAAATGTTTCTTGAGCGCCAAATTAACATATTAGAATGATTTGTGAAGGATCATGTGACACTGAATGGCTGCTGAAAATTCAGCTTTGTCATCAAAGAATAAATTACATTTTAAAATATGAACAAATATACACTTAAGCAATTATTTTAAATTGTAATAATATTTCACAATACAATTGCTTTTTTTTTTTTAATGGTAGTGTATAGATGTTCTCTCTTACCATTTCCTAGAGAGGAGGCACACGGGCATCATGAATAAATGAAATCTGAAATAAAATAAGTTTAAGTTGAATCACTAAAATTACTAAAACTGAAATGCAAAAAAGCTAAATAAAGTTATTAACAAATTTTATAAAAAAACAAGCAACGAAAATAATTACAATTATATATATATATATATATATATATATATATATATATATATATATATATATACACACACACTGTATATAAAACCTAATTCAAATTATAATAAATACTATAGTACAGGGATCCTCAAATCTGGCCCACGAGATCCAATTTCCTGCAGAGTTTAGCTCTAACCCTAATCAAACACACCTGAGTATGCTAATCAATGTTTTCTGGATCATTAGAAAATAACAGGTAGTTGAGTTTGATCAGGGTTGGAGCAAAACTCTGCAGCACATTGGCCCTCCAGGGCAAGATTTGAGGAACCCTGCCATAGTATATAAACTGGATAAAAAAAAAAAGTTTTTCAAGGCAAACGTTGAAGTTGGCTTGCAAAAATCAAACCAGAAAGTTTGAAAAAGTTTTAAAAGCTAGAATGTTTTTGTGTTGCCATGTGGTTGCTTGGGTACTCAGGGTGGTTGCTAAGGTGTTGCTATGCGGTTGCTAGGGTACCCAGAGTGGTTGCTAGGTTGTTGCTAGGGTACTTGGGGTTGTTGCTAATGTGTTGGTATGTGGTTGCTAAGGTAATCGGGGCGGTTACTAAGGTGTTGCTATGCGGTTGCTAGGGTACTCAGGGCAGTTGCTAGGGTGTTACTAGGATATTCTGGGTGGTTGCTAGGTTGGTTTGGATGGTTGCTAGAGTGTTGCTATGAAGTTACTGGTAAGTATCATCACATTGCTAGCATGTTTCAGATAGATACCATACTAGTTGATAGTAATGCTGCAATTAATAGTTTGTGAATGTTCCAATCATGATATTTAAAGGATTTGGTGTGAACTGTTAAATAGTTTAATGTGCTAAAAAGTTGTTAAAGCTTGCAAATATGCACAGTAATATATATATATATTTTTTCTAGCATTGGATTTGTAAATTGTGTGCCAAAAGAAAAATCTGCAAAGGTTTATGAATATGTTATATTTCTGTGTCACATTGCCAGACTTGCCGTGAACAATCCTTGTATTGGCTCATAAAAATGTAAAGCTGTAGGGCAATTTCATACACATTCGCAAAATAACACATTCTTTAGTTTTTATCTACAGGTCATATCAAATAACTGATAGTAGCTAAACTGTTTGTCACTAAAACTTCACAGATACTGTAATTACTGGCAATTTCTATTTCACCCTCCAAGTCCAGTAATCCATGCTATTTCATTTCTACTACTGCCTATAACTTTAGGGCTGTCTCTGCTATGCACTCAAGTCACCATGGAGGCACTGTTTGAGGGTAATTATAGGATGTGGTTGCTATAGTAACAGATGTTCCAACCAGGAATGCAGTATTGCTGGGTCCTGCAAGACCAGCAGACTCAGAAGAACTGGAACACATTTAACACCAGACGCTACTAGATTCAACTTTTGGCCCCATGGGGGAGCTGTTGGTCTTCATTAAACCAGAACTGTGGCGGCAGACTTACCGGCTGAAGAGGACACAGGGGAATCGTCACAGCAGGGTAAAGAGGGGTGTCAGGGATCAAAGGGTGTGTGTGTGTGTGTGTGTGTGTGTGTGTGATGGCTTGACATATACTCAATGCAAAGTTTGTGTGTGAGCAAGTAATGAGAAGATCTGTCCATGAGAGTGTGTGGGATTTTCTTGTTTTTTTTTTGCAACCAGGGAATCAGTCTCGCCATATGGGGACGCTCTATCTCTTCATAATGTTCATAAATTTGGACTACGATTTGATGATCATACAAACACTAAAGACACTGTACAGTGTTTGGACCGAACAGAGAACACATTAGAGATTCTGTGAGTGTGGTTGGATTTACTAGGCTGAAGTTTGGTCACAAATTTGTCCCCAGAAGTGAAGCAAATCCGCCAAAACGTTACTTTAGGGATAATAATAAATTAAATAACTCATGTTTTTAATCTAAAAATGCTAAAAGTTTTCATTAAGATGCAGGGTTAGGGGTTTATTTAGATACTAATTTTAAAAAAATGTCCCCATTCAACTTCATAAATGTGTTTATGTATGTGTGTGTTAACTCACTTAAAGAAGGGCGTATCAATAACAGCAAGACAGAAATACTGGTTGATGTAGGTGGTAAGCAGATGCCGGTCCAAGTCGTCAGTCACATGTCTTCCATAGTTGATCCCAGCGATGAGGAACTTGAGAGCGTCCCAGGGGATTTCCTCATACTCATCCAAATAAAGACTCAGAAGATTCTCACTCACCTGAAAAACAAAGAGAAATTAATAATTGCTGTAAACAATCAGTCTTCACAAACCCATTAAATCGCCAGAAATGCATATAGGTTCACAGAATAAGTCCATCTTAAGATATATTTTTAAAACATGTTTTTTCAATAATAATATCATAGCCATAGGCAATAGCTATTAAATATGCAGCTTATAGGGTATAGAAAAGAATCACCCTCCTTTAAAATAATCGCATTTTGTTGCTTTGCAGCCTGAAATGAAGACAGACACAGTTTTTGTTTTATCCAGCTGTATTTACTCAGTGCAACTTATAACATCCAAGTAAAAGATATAACACCAACATGTCAGAAAAAAAAATCACTGTATGATTTAGATAAACAATTTGTTGTTTTTTTGTTTTGTTTTTTATTGACGTGTTTTAGAAGTAGTATGGTAAAATATCTATAAATGAGATCATGGGTGTAATCCATACACAGAAACTGATGATGATGGAAAATTTTTGTCTTTGCACTGTGTACTTTTTTTTTTTTTTTTTACTTTTTGCACTTTTGTAAATTTATGGCCTGAATAAAGACTTTTGAAGATTTTTTCTTGAAGGACATTGTGTGCATAATTTCATGCTTTTTACTACTACAGTATTGCAAAATAAAAAAAAAAAAAAGAGTATCTAATACCAATAATCATAATCATAATTATTATTTGGGAAGAGGGTTGGCACAAATTGCATTTTCAAATGCAAGATATAAGAGACCCTTGTGGAGTTTGTGTGGAAGCTATGAAATAAATATACTAATAAATGCATGAAATAATGTACTTTAAATGTATATGAAAACGCAATTTCTTACTTTGGGAACCACAGAAATCAGTATAAATACAGACAATTCACATCTTTGTCTCTCCTTCTCTACCTCAAAGTCAGAGTCATTGAAGCTGTAGACAATGTTCCAGCCGAGCTGTAGGAACTTCTTCCTCTCCAGGATGACGCTGTGGAAGAAGCAGAGAGTGAAGAGCAGCTTACGGTACAGCAGCAGCCGCGAACAGCGCGAGAACTGAGACTCAGACACCCGCTGATAGAGACGCTTCATATTCCACTTCACCCCCTATAGAGACAAACAATAACACAAACAAACACACACACACACACACACACACACACACACACACACACACACACACACACACACACACACACACAAAAACCTCTTTTAAAACCACACACAACACTCAAAACATCAGACTATATCTTCCTCTCCAGGATGACGCTGTGGAAGAAGCAGAGAGTGAAGAGCAGCTTACGGTACAGCAGCAGCCGCGAACAGCGCGAGAACTGAGACTCAGACACCCGCTGATAGAGACGCTTCATATTCCACTTCACCCCCTATAGAGACAAACAATAACACAAACAAACACACACACACACACACACACACACACACACACACACACACACACACACACACACACACACACACACAAAGACCACTTTTATTACAACACACACCATTTCAAACATCTGACTATAGTGTGTGAAGTGTGTGTATGTGTGTACCCTGGGAGGCTCAGTAGTTATTTTGATGCCCGTCTGCAGGATAGCAATGGGGTATTCTGGGTGAGGGGAGGAGCTTAGCCACAGCCGGAAATCCCAAGTAGATATAACTGCAGACCGGAGATCTCCAAAATGTGGCGTGAACTCCAAAAGTGGGCAGAACCTCCAAAATGGGGCGGGGTCTCCACGCACAAAGACTTTCACCATTGGCTCTGGCTCCAGCCAATAGTTATTGACTTACATTTCAAAATAAAACTTTATAAATTAAACAATTTCTAGTTCATTTAAAATAAAATATGCTATATAAATAAATATTCTCCATGAGAGCAGAGCCCAAAGCTCGTGGCCAGTGGTGTTCGGACTGGAGTTTGAACCTCTGCATAATGATATAAATGGGAATCACCCACGAGCTCTCCCGCGAGCCATCCCAGCGCAGCGCAGGGGAAAGATTTTACTCTATGGCTTTGTTCTAAGCAACGGGGGCATCCCGGGGCTCGAAATTCGCAGGGTAGGAGGGGGTAGTGATGCTGGGTGTAACTAAAAAGGTGCCATTGTCCCATGAGGTCTGGTTGGGGAGTTACGGAACGATCTCATATCGCATAATCTTATCAACTGTTTATCTCCTGAACTGCATCTTTCTTTACCACGCTATTCAGCGCCAATCCCGCAGTGCAGTCAATTTCACTGGTTAAGGTTAGGGTCAAGTGTGGGGTAGGTTTAGGGGTTAGCATTTTTGTAGCATAGTGTAGGAAAGCAACTCTTTAATTGACACAACCAATACAATCTTTAGAATCAGCTGTGGGGCGGAGTTTGCAATTAAGTGGATTAGGGGGAAAAAATGTGCATGCGTGTCATGTGCCTGTCTGGCAATGGGAGGAAGCCACGCCCTATTTTGGAGCTCCCACCCCGTTTTGGAGTTTCCGCCCCCATTTGGAGATCTCCAGGCTGCAGTTATACCCTTCTCGGAAATCTGGATGACATTCTTGGACTTTTAACTCATCTACTAGCTTATCCAGCTCACACATCCAAGAGAGAGAGAGAGGTGACAATTAGCCAAGAACACCCAATGATCTGCCAAAGAGAAAGAGTTTGTTTAGTAGATTTGGTAAAAGTAAATTAGATTTGACATTTTCTGAAGAAAATGTGAGTTGTGTTTGCTGGTGCTAGGGCATTATGTGTGGTTACCAGGGTTTTTTCATGTGATTGTTAAGTTGCTTTTAAAACAAGGCTGTTTCTCAATTCCAAGAACACAAAGAATGGACTTGCGTTCTTGTGGAGATCAGTCTTGCCAGGCTACTTTTCAAAAACGTTTTGGACGCCCATCAACGTGCATCATTACGATACATTCACACGCGGCGTCAGCGCTTCTGATTGGCTGATGCATGCATTGGCGCTTGAAAAGTTTTTAACTTCTGCTGCAAGCAACGGACCAACGCGACGCAACGGACCCACAATTCATTTCGGCAATGCTTGACGTCACTCCATTCAAAGTAAATGAGAGGCGTTGTTAAAGTTAATGTGCACAGATAAATCATTTATAATAAACACTTAGGTTACGGATTCAACGGAAGTCGTCAGCAGCACTGCACAGGACTTGCTTGAGAAGAATGTCTCCAAAGAAGTGTGTTTTTGGTTGTGAGGGAAAGATAACCTTGTTCAGCTTCCCAAAGAACCCAGAGTTACGTGAACCGTGGATGCAGTTTGTTTTTCCGAGAAAACAAGTTTGTGTTTCCGGGAGTTTTGCGAGTGTGATTGTTTGTTCCCGTCATTTCGGTGACAAATGTTTTATAAACAAGGCCCAGTTCAACCCCAGTCATGAGCTAGAACCACAGGCGGTAAGTAAAACTGCATCAAATTTATGTTTTGTAGGCAATGGGCACGTAAGTGCTTGTGACTCTTTAGCTCCGCCCATAGCACACCTCAAAGAGCTCGGCTGTTTTCAGAGAGAAGCGTAAAGCTGAATCTGTCTTTTATAAATCTGATAAAACTAAAGACTCTTCGAAGATATGAAGGATGCAATACTACTATATATGGTACTCAAGATTAACATGAGATTGGCCGAAACTGTGTGTGTTATGTCCCGTTTAAACTAATGACTCTTACGAGCCAATTCTTTTTAGTGAATCAAACACATGTTTTACTTTGGCTCATGGCACAAAAATCAGTGAAGTTACTGACTGATTGTTTATATCACATGGAGTTACACATCATGAGTTCTGTCACTGTAAACTTTGTGCAAACACACCTTTTGCAAGAATAGGATTTTTTTTTATTATTGATATTCTCATCATTAGGTAAAGGAACTTATTTATCTTTTTTTTTTTTTTTCTTCTTCGAAAGTACTGAAGAAATCGTTTGAACCATTAAGGAGCCAGAATTGTTCTGATTGTAAAATTCCTAACCCAAACCTAACCCTATATCCTAAAATTAGGTTCCCACAATGTACGCAAAACTTGACCCACACACACATGCAGACATATTACCAGGAAGCAGTGCTTTCTCTGGTTCTGGATTGGTGTACCAGAGGTGCCAGTCTTGAGGGTACTGCTCAAACGAGGCCATGAGTCCATGGAAATTAGTCAGTTTATCCAGTTCAGTTATGTTGTCCCAGTTAGAGTCCGACAGCCAGCTAGAGCAGGGCTTTTCCATCTGTTTCTCCTTATCCAGAACCTAACACACACATACACACCACACAGAATGCTTTATGTAACATGAGGACTTTTTCATTTTTAAACAAGTCAAGACAATCCTTTCCCATAATCCACTTTCAGAACCAGTACACACACACACACACAAACACACTCCCCCATGCAGCCCTCACCAGTCCCCCCCCGTAGAAAAAAGCTGTATTCATCAGTTGAGCTTCCTGGATGTCCTCCAGGATCTTGGCGCAAATGTGGAAACTGAACAGGAGCTTGTGACACTCAAACAGTCCTCAACAGGTGTATCTGCAAACAGATCAAACACTCTGACATCACTCTGAAAGTCAGCTTAATAAATAATAGATTACATATTGAAATATTTTTATTTATATACAGTTTTTTAAAACTATAATAATAATTCACAATATTACTGTTTTTATTGTATTTTAGATCAAATAAATGGAGCTATGGTGAGCTTAAGAGGCTTCTTTCAAAAATCTTACTGATTGGTAGTATATACAGTATATGTAATAGTTTTTTTATTTAATTTTTTTGTTACAACTACAATAGTGACAAAAGTACAGTGAAAATACCCCAAAAACAGCACATTAACAAAGTAACACTTCTGTAAATATATGTGTATGAGTGTGTGAATTTGTGTAGACGGCGTAATGTGGTGTCTGTTGAGGTTGTTTATCCTCTCCTCCAGTTTGTGGCTGCGGGAGCTGCTCTCTATACTCAGGTTGAACAGGTTGATGTAGGCATCCAAAGAGAACTGATACATTGGATCTATATAGCCCAGATCATTCAGTACAAAGAGCAGGATGGACGCCCTCTGGGCGCAGGGGCGGTAGGCCTGAACACACACAAACACACAAAGAGTGGTGTCTACAGCTTTATATGCCTCTCTTGCTATCAACATCCTCATCTCAGCAGTCTTTTTATCTCTCTGCTTTATTCAGAGGTGCAATCTTTAATCCAATCTGGCAACCCTTTCAGCACCCTCCCTCACACCATCTCTCTCTCCTTGACCTCCCCCTCATCCCTCTCTCTTTCTCTCTCACCTCTCTGGCGGTATCGATTTGGCTCTCGGTCAGTTTGCTGATCTCCAGTTGCTCTGCGACCTCTGTGGCCGTGACTTTGGAGGTCTGCAGGGTGTTCACCAGCTGAACATCATCCAGTAGGGAGCCGGACGCCTCATTCAACAACCTGTACACACACACAAGCAAAATGGATGAGTGCAAAATGTGAGACTTGCTAGTATAAATACACTGTTGATTAGAATGACTGATGTGTTAGTGGCACTATTATAAAGGTGTTAATGCAGAGCTGTGACATGTGCAAGCGTGTGTGCCGCCCACCGCAGGATCTCGTCCTCCAGCTCCTGCAGTTTCCTCTTGCCAGAGGCGATACTGATCACCAGAGAGTCCTTCTGTTCCTCCAGCTCAGGACGCTCCTTCCTCACCACGATCCCCAGCAGCTGGGCCTCCAGACCCTGACGCACACAGAGTTATGTTTCATCCTCAAAGACCTCTGTCATGGGAACAAGTTCATTAACATACGCACTGACCTGTTCTTTAACAGCAAAGTTGATGATGGTGGTTTTGGATGAGATTTCAGGAGTGTAATGTGGATTGGACAGTTTGGTGGTCCTGTAAAAATGGAATTCAGGACTGTATTCCACTTCTTTATCTCCCAGTCTTAACAAGAAACGTCCACCTGCAGAACACACAGAAGATATATACAATTTTTCCTCATTCCTTGTGTGATTTAAACCTACAACCTTACCAGGTTTGACCTTGCCAGATTTTACTTTTTTTTTGTTGCTATTTTACTTAATTATTGCATCATGATTTGTATGATTTAAAGATATATTTCTAACAAAAATAAATTTTCATGTAAAACAACCTTTAAATTAATTTTGCATTATACCTGTAAATTACACTTCTATAACATCTAAAAATCTATTTAATGCTATTGACAGACACATATGTATAAATACAAAACTTGAACCTAAGCAATGTTATCAGCCAATGTTGAGTCGTGTGTTTGTTTGTGTGTGTATAGAGGGGACTGACCAACTCGTGTGAGGGACTTGTTGAGGATGGGGGCCAGTGAAGGATCTAGTTCCTCTTGGACGTTCTATAAAAGAATCGGGGAACCAAACTGCACTACATTCTCCAGGATCTGCAAAAAAATTACCTTCAACCCCTGAGAGAGAGACAACATGAGACTAGAAGAGAACATGAAGGACACACAGAGGACAAAATAATGACATCAACTAAAAAGAAAAAAATGAAAGGTAGCGGAGAGGATAAATATGATTCAAAAATGATAAATGGACATCGAAGAAAGAAAATGGGATGTGATAGAGACAGAGAAAAGCTGGAGGAGGAAGAAAAGAGGCTTCGGCTCTGTCATTTTGTTACTGTTCGTAAATGTCAACGTTTAACTGTAGCGTGTGAATGGCACTCGTCGCTCCAGACACTCACCACTACAGATGAGAAAAGACCTGCAAAGAGGAGGAAAAGGTCACAGACAGAGGGAGAGACGAAGAACAGAGGCTGAAGCTGAACAGCAAATTATCCTGAGAGATGAAACGAAAGTATGTGTCCTTCTGTACACACCTGACAGCCCATCCATCCATCTATCCTTCTGTGTGTGTCTGTCCGTCGATTCATATATCCATCTATACATCACATCTATCTATCTATCTATCTATCTATCTATCTATCTATCTATCTATCTATCTATCGTTCAGCAAACAAAACCATCCCCGCCCTGGTGCAGAGACACAGAGCGAGTGTATTAATGTGCATCTGTGTTCAGAGGGAGTGATAAATGGAAGGTGTATTCTGCTGAAGGAGAGCAGGTGAGGAGACGCTGCCTCACATGGGAGGCAGTTTCTAACTCACAGGAGGATTGAGTTTGGAGTTCTTGTATTCTAAATAAGGGCTCTGAAAACGGCTCGTCTGTGGATTAGACGGTGAGTCATGTGATGAGGCATCGTGACTCTGAGCAGGTAATGTTGGCACTGAATGTGGGTTATGTTTTTCTCCACGGAGAAGTAGATCTAACAACGTCTAATAATCATGGCAGTCTCAGTTTCTGTCCTGCTCTGATGTCTGTATTCATTACCAAGACCTTTACGGCAAAATAATGTAGTCTGTGTTCAGTACAAGGATTCTATGAACTCTGTGTGTGTGTGAGATATTCACCCTTTTGGACTCCATGTTCCTGATCCACTTTAGCGCTTGTCCTTGAGGGTCCACCATTAGTGGTCATCTGTGGGGAGGGACAGGGAGAGAGAAACATTAGCTCTCACTGTAAATGCACGTCATATTATCCATAAATAGGCTATTTCCTAATAATCCATAATCTCAAAATGCCATTAATCTGTTTGGTGTGTGTGTATGTGTGTGCACGTATGTGTAAGGGAGGAAATTAGCTTTAGCTATAAATTAACAATCAGAGAAAAATGAGCTTACTATTATCTTTAGATAATTATTCTCCAATCACTAATTATTACTGCTCATTATTCATGAGATATCATCATTATTCTAATTAATGTTAAGGGACTGACCGGTTGCCACGGGTGACGATGACTCCATTCTCGGTGGAAAAGGCATCAGACGGGAGGCCTTGGATATTCCATTCGTGCACTGTCGTGGGTTTAGACAGGAACATTGCAAAGCTGAACCCCGGAGAACACGGCACCCCCAGTTCTCTCACCTAGAGATGAAAAGAGTAGCAGAGGATTCGGGCAAGGACATATGAATGAGAGGAAAGAGAAATTAAGTGTTAGAGCTGTCACCTGCATAATGCCATAATATTCTAACCTGTGAAGTGTGCAATACTATGCAATACTGAACCAGTATTCAGCACAAAATTACAGTAACTTACAGCAAGTGCTCTAGATGCATCGGATGTTAGTTGACATGTATCAATAAAAGCCATTAGCACCAAGTTTATACTGGGTGCTAAAGACGAGCTAAGACAAGAAGGACAGAATGACAGACAAACAATGACATTCAAATCAATAGTCACTGAATGACAGAAAGACAGACTGACATCTAGAACAACATAATGATAAAAAAGGATGGCAGACAGAAAGACAATGACAGACAGACCGATAGATAGAAAGGTAGATAGAGACAGAGAAAAGCTGGAGGAGGAAGAAAAGAGGCTTCGGCTCTGTCATTTTGTTACTGTTCGTAAATGTCAACGTTTAACTGTAGCGTGTGAATGGCACTCGTCGCTCCAGACACTCACCACTACAGATGAGAAAAGACCTGCAAAGAGGAGGAAAAGGTCACAGACAGAGGGAGAGACGAAGAACAGAGGCTGAAGCTGAACAGCAAATTATCCTGAGAGATGAAACGAAAGTATGTGTCCTTCTGTACACACCTGACAGCCCATCCATCCATCTATCCTTCTGTGTGTGTCTGTCCGTCGATTCATATATCCATCTATACATCACATCTATCTATCTATCTATCTATCTATCTATCTATCTATCTATCTATCTATCTATCGTTCAGCAAACAAAACCATCCCCGCCCTGGTGCAGAGACACAGAGCGAGTGTATTAATGTGCATCTGTGTTCAGAGGGAGTGATAAATGGAAGGTGTATTCTGCTGAAGGAGAGCAGGTGAGGAGACGCTGCCTCACATGGGAGGCAGTTTCTAACTCACAGGAGGATTGAGTTTGGAGTTCTTGTATTCTAAATAAGGGCTCTGAAAACGGCTCGTCTGTGGATTAGACGGTGAGTCATGTGATGAGGCATCGTGACTCTGAGCAGGTAATGTTGGCACTGAATGTGGGTTATGTTTTTCTCCACGGAGAAGTAGATCTAACAACGTCTAATAATCATGGCAGTCTCAGTTTCTGTCCTGCTCTGATGTCTGTATTCATTACCAAGACCTTTACGGCAAAATAATGTAGTCTGTGTTCAGTACAAGGATTCTATGAACTCTGTGTGTGTGTGAGATATTCACCCTTTTGGACTCCATGTTCCTGATCCACTTTAGCGCTTGTCCTTGAGGGTCCACCATTAGTGGTCATCTGTGGGGAGGGACAGGGAGAGAGAAACATTAGCTCTCACTGTAAATGCACGTCATATTATCCATAAATAGGCTATTTCCTAATAATCCATAATCTCAAAATGCCATTAATCTGTTTGGTGTGTGTGTATGTGTGTGCACGTATGTGTAAGGGAGGAAATTAGCTTTAGCTATAAATTAACAATCAGAGAAAAATGAGCTTACTATTATCTTTAGATAATTATTCTCCAATCACTAATTATTACTGCTCATTATTCATGAGATATCATCATTATTCTAATTAATGTTAAGGGACTGACCGGTTGCCACGGGTGACGATGACTCCATTCTCGGTGGAAAAGGCATCAGACGGGAGGCCTTGGATATTCCATTCGTGCACTGTCGTGGGTTTAGACAGGAACATTGCAAAGCTGAACCCCGGAGAACACGGCACCCCCAGTTCTCTCACCTAGAGATGAAAAGAGTAGCAGAGGATTCGGGCAAGGACATATGAATGAGAGGAAAGAGAAATTAAGTGTTAGAGCTGTCACCTGCATAATGCCATAATATTCTAACCTGTGAAGTGTGCAATACTATGCAATACTGAACCAGTATTCAGCACAAAATTACAGTAACTTACAGCAAGTGCTCTAGATGCATCGGATGTTAGTTGACATGTATCAATAAAAGCCATTAGCACCAAGTTTATACTGGGTGCTAAAGACGAGCTAAGACAAGAAGGACAGAATGACAGACAAACAATGACATTCAAATCAATAGTCACTGAATGACAGAAAGACAGACTGACATCTAGAACAACATAATGATAAAAAAGGATGGCAGACAGAAAGACAATGACAGACAGACCGATAGATAGAAAGGTAGATAGAACAGCAGACAGACAGATTGGAGTTAGAATGACAGATAGATAAATAGATAGACAGACAGACAGACAGACAGATAGATAGATAGATAGAACAGCAGACAGACCAATAGATAGAACAGCAGTTTTATGACAGACAGACAGACAGACAGATAGATAGATAGAATTACAGGCAGACCGATAGATAGAAAGGTAGACAGAACAGCAGACAGACAGATTGGAGTTAGAATGACAGATAGATAGATAGATAGACAGACAGACAGATAGATAGATAGATAGATAGATAGATAGAACAGCAGACAGACCAATAGATAGAACAGCAGTTTTATAATGACAGACAGACAGACAGACAGATAGATAGATAGATAGAATTACAGGCAGACCGATAGATAGAAAGGTAGATAGAACAGCAGACAGATAGATTGGAGTTAGAATGACAGACAGACAGATAGACAGATACAAACAGACAGATTGACAGATCGATACAATGACAGAATGACAGAAAGACAGAATGACTGAGAGACAAATAGATAAGAAAGAAAAAAGACAAGCAAAATAAAAAAGATAGAATGACAGACAGGTAGACAGAAACCTGTTTCATCCATATATTTGTGACCGGCCCATATAGGACAGGAAGGCAGCAGCCAGCAGGCAGTATCCCGCCAGACAGGAGTCAGGAAATGTTCTTCTCCAGACCCTGAGCCATCACACACACTCACAATCACATCAGAGACCCCTGGCTGCATTTTCACATCCAAGTATAAAACATCAAGGTGACTGGGGAGTGACTTTGTGTGTGTTTGTGCGTACAGCAACTGTCTCCTTCCAGCGAACTCTCTCTCCTGCCAGTCCGGACACCAGCTTGCCGGCCCGGTCCAGTTTGAGCTCCATGTCCTCGGATTTCCTCCGTAGCTCCTCTTTCTTGGCCAGCTTTTCATCATATTGTCGCTTCAGCTGATCCAGTTTCTCTCCTACCTATAGACATACACACAAACTTTAGCACTATATCACTTGAATAACATTAACAAAGTCACGCCCACACGCATTCACAAATATAGTGCAGGACAGACTGACACACGCTGACCTCTCCGAGTTTGCCCTGGGCCTCAGCTAGTGTGGCCTGTTTCTCATCCAGCTGAGTCATTGCTCCATGCAACCTGGCTCAACCAAAGGTATGAGAACATTAAAAAAAAGTTTCAGTTTCAAGGCCCCTTTACACCAAGAACGGTAACTTTAACAATATCTAAAAAATGGCTCAAACTCTAATGGTGCAGAATTCAGATTACAGAAATTTCAGATACATTTTGCAGGCAAAAAATGTCCATTGTCAATAGTATAGCAAGAAGTACAACTCAAACAATAGTCACTTTAAAACCAAGCAATCTTCTGTTGGCAAACATGGTAAATTTGCATGACAAACTTAAACCGAAGCAAAATCTGTGGGGAACTTTTTCACTCTCACACAAAACTCTTGATAGCATGCATTTCTACTGAAATTAAGAGATGGTAGATGTGACCGCACCTTAGATGAACCCACTTTTTCAGGAAAGATATCATAGGAATTTCTGTAGGAGCGATTGTTTTACCAGCTGATGAACAATAAAAACCTTGAAAGCCAATAAACATCCACCCTTCAGCATGAAACAGAAATTGCGATGGTCTTTTCTTCCCTGTTGTGACGCATATCTAAGAGAAACAGCTTCTTGAATGAAATTTTTTGTTTGATTTTGTCTATTGGAAATTGATTGGATGGTTGTTGTTTACTAATTACTGCGATCTCATGTAAGTGACAGGTTGCTGTAGAGGAGAATTTATTGCCCAGTCATTGCACTGATGCACACATGATCATAGACAAGATATCGTTGTGAGGGGGAGGGGAAGTTAATGTGCACAGATAAATCATTTATAATAAACACTGAAATATTACATAAAAAAATTAAAGGTATACAATAAGAATTGTCCATTTTGATTTCATAGTGACTTTAAAGCGCTTTGAATAAACCATTGGTGCTGATGGTAATATGTTTTTTTGGGGGTGTTTTTTTCATAACAAGGGCAGCAGAACAGCATTTGGGTGTCGAAAGTGTTGTAATTGTGTAACTCATGATTGCTGTACCTCCATGACCCTCACCCACATGCAGCGAGACCCGTCCAATGATCTCAGGCTGGAAGTCGGGCTGCATGCAGTACTGTCCAATGGTCTTCAGCATGCAGTCGGAGATGTTGTCCTTATCAAAATTCACCAACTGCTTAATGAAGTTGGCCTCTCCTAAAACAAATGGCTTGAATTCAGCCTCATGCAAGCACATATTTCATTTTTTTGCTGCAATCTGTTCTGTGGTTATGTGCTTTCTACCGCATTGTGCTGACCTTTTTAAATATATCCTGGCATGCTAATGAATCGCCCAACCCTTCCCTTTCTCTGTTTGGCTCATGTGATTTTGGTTATACAGTAGTCTGGTATGGATTTCATGCCTGAGCCAGTGCCTGAATCCATGTGTAACATCAGCGTGATGGAGTGATTTAATAAAGACCTGGAACTTTCTCTTTTTCGTACCCAGTTGTCTCTTGGCCTCCGCCCAAGTTGGATCACATCCTCTGAGGATCATAACTGCCTGCATGACGGTTTCCACAAGAGCTGGAGGCCTGCCATAAGACTTGATATCCGTCATATCTTTCTTATTCAGCGACTCCAGAGCCTGAAGACAGTCCAACAAGATTACCACCGTTTTTTCATGTGCTGATGAAAACATTATTTATCACATATTCAGATAGCTGTATTATATTGTACTGAAAGTAATAGTCGCATGAATGCAGAATGACCTTCATGGCTTCCTCTAGAGCATGAAGTGATTCATCTAGGTCTCTCTGAGCGTTCTGAGCCATGGCCTTACACTTGATTTCTTCTGCTTCTATTTTCTCACTGTGAGCACCCACCGCCTATACAGACATGCACATTAAGACACACACCAATCTTAGAAGGTTATAAATATTCCAAGAATGCATGCTACAAAAACAACACACAAATGTACACAGACACAGATCATCTTACCAAACACAAACATCAGCATGCAATAACAAAAAAAGAGGATTACTGAGCAGTATGACGATATATACCATCTGACGGCAGAAATGTGTCAACAGGTAAAGAATCTGCTGTACCATTTATAAAGCAGTACATCTAAGCATATTTATGATTTATTATAATTATATATATTCTATATTATAATATATTAAAAGTCTTTGTGTTTAACGCTAATATTACAAAGTTAAACTGTTTGAAAATTTTATGTTGTTTGTGTCAAAAAAAGATGAATTCCTTTTACTATGAAGTCCCTTATTAATATATGATTATGTATATTAACGAACAAAAGGAAAGAGAAATTGAAAAAAAAGTGTGTTTGATTCCTACTTCTTGTATCCAGAAACCAGCTCCAGGTAGTTGGTGGGCGTGACATAATAGTGTCTCTTCAGTTCTACTTTCACTCTGTGAGAAAACTGGGCCACAGACTGGTGCACGGTCACAAAGATACTGGCAACTTTAGTCTGGATCTATGAAGCCACCAGAGAAATGACAAGATGTGGCAGCCTCGGCTTTAAACAAACCTTGCACAAGGTCACAACAGAAGTATGATAAACCCAAACTAATCCTAAAATAGACTAAAACAAAACTAGGCTTGAACTCCCTCGAAACAACAGTGTGTCTCAATGGAGAACCTCAAGTCAAAGTGATTTGTATTTCAAAAACAGTGAGCAAAAAGAAACATGGTTTGTATGACATCTCTCTCAAAGGAAACAAAAAGATCCACACAGAGATGAAGGATGAGAGAGTCAAAGACTCCTGATGAAACTCGACACTTGAAATTCAATTATGATTCAAGAACAGCTACTATGAGATGAAGAACCTCAAAAAGACTGGAAATTAAAGCCCAGGGGTCAGTGTCACTGATTTTATTGGACTTGTAGAGTGTATGAAATATGAATATTTAAAAGTTAAACAAAAAATTTAAAGGTGCACTCAGTAATTTATGCCTGTAATGGAAAAGCTGAATTTTCGCCATTACTCCAGGTCTTTAGTAACACATGATCCTTCAGAAATCATTCTAATATGCTGATTTGGTTCTCAAGAAACATCTTGTATTATTATCAATGTTGAAAACAGCTGTACTGCTCAATGTTTTTGTGGAAACTCAAAATAATGTAGTCTGACTACGATTTGCACATTTCAACAACGGCCTTGTTGACTGAAAAAAAAAAATTGCATGAAACTACATCCACACCACTACATGTATAAGTCCTAGACGACGGCCAACACAACAAACAAAAAAACTACTGAGTGCACCTTTAAAAACGAACAAAAATGCATTGACAGTTATGCACTTCCAATGGAAGTCTAGGAGGCAACTGCTGTATGCTTGCTGTTAGATGTCTACTATAAGTACATCTGTTGTTGTTGTTTTTTTATTGTTAACAAACTGATATACATGTAAAAATAATTTAATAGGGTAGAGTTTAACTTATTTAACCCATAACATTCCTTTGTGTATTTGTGTGTAGTACACTGACAGCATTTGTAAATCAATTGTTTGATCGTCTTTCTGTCTCACCCCATCCTCGCTCCCTAGAGAGAGGCCATCCAAACATCTTTCTGCCACTTCCAACAGAGCATCACGTGGCCAGTCTACCGTTGTGCAGTTCACAAGTGCTGGGTACTGTCGAATATGGTTCCTAAACAAATACATACACACAAGCAAACATACCCACAAACCCTCTATTAGGTAGAAAGTTCAAGATGGTTTGCATTGATTTGTCACAAACACTAAAATCACCCAATGGTTCAATCATGCTTATTAAAGTCAGACCACTGCCAGACCAATCAGAGTGAGTGCTTAGATGATTCGGGCTGTCATATTTAATGAGTCAGGGCCCTACGGGTCACATTACACACAACCACCTCCTTCATGTAATGGCAGATGCAAATGAGTGATTAACGAGAACATTTCCCATGCATGGTTCTATAGTGCTGCAAGTGTGACTTGGCATAATTACAAAGCAAGAATGTTTTTGCCAGCCGGCATCTGTGGGCCAGTGGACAATGTACTGCACCTACTTATCGCTGTCTCTCATTTAACCTAATATTTACCTGCATTATAGTTCTTCCTTGTTATTTTCATTGTCATATTTTATCATTATTGATTTGGCACACTTGGTCTGCTACTGCTTTGGCAATACAAACACACTGTTGTTCGACATGTCAATAAAGCCCCTGAAGCTGAAATTGACAGACACAGCAAGCTAAGGATGGAAAAGTAAACAGAAAGAGAGGGAGGGGAAGCCACATTTACTACATCGTTTCTGAAGACACTTGTGAGTTTACAACAGCACACGGTAAAAAGATTGTAGATGGAGGACAGAGCTTTGTCTTCCTGATGTGTGTGAAATGACAGCGGCAGAGAGGTTTACTCCTGTTGTTTCCTCTAATTTCACACAGTTGTGTTTCATCCACTTTGAACTCACACACTGAGTCATCAGTTGATTCATAAGCAGCTATACTGTGCACGGGTCTGTTCGGTTAAACCGTGTATTGCCATTCACTGTGAATCAAGCCTACAGAGAGAGATCTTAAGCCATAAGAAGCCACAGGATGGATCTCAATGTTAGCATGGTAATCAAGGCTGACTCACTATTTGAGAATGTTCGATTATAAGGAGTAGGAGTGCATGTGTGCTGTATAACAGTCAGCTATATTAAATCCACACCCATGGGATTTTGTGAGACAACAATACAAATGTACTGTAAAATATAAAGTATATTAATATGTATAATAATGTATAGTAATAATAATAATTAGATTTTTCAGAACAGTAAAATTACGCAGCAATTTAATCAATTAATTTTATGCAATTCATGTGGATCATACAGAAAAATCACATCCCAGTATAATTTAATTGGCAACGTTTAAATTGTTTAAGTGACATTAATATTTTACTTAATTTGCCTTGTTGTTTGCTCCATTTCTCATGCTTAGCAACATCAATGCAGTTTTTTTGTCATGAAAATAAAACACGCTAAAAAAAATTGCACCTGAATGGATCTCCTACAGGGCTCATGGACAGCACAATGTGCAGGTTATTTCTGACACGCTCTATCAGATAGTTAAACATGGCGTCTGATGTCTTCAGGATATTGTCCTTCCTGGCTGAGTCTGACAGAGCATTCTGAATCTACACAAACAAAACATGTTAAAAATCTGCTCTCATTGTCATTTAGAAGACAAATCTACAGTCACACGCATTAAAAATGTATACAAACACACACACCTCATCAAGCTCGTCCACTTTATAGAGATTGGGCACCTCCCCTGAGCTCAGGATGTTGTTAGTGTCTTCAAGGAAGGACTCGTCGACAATCTGTGTGTCATTAAACAGGAACACAGTGGGCTTGTTTTCCACTCCTGTCAGCCGATAGAGCTTTTTAATATCTGTATGGGGAGAAGAAATATGTCAAATATTCCATCGAGGCCACATTAAACTGTTCTGTGACGGCTACACTGTGCATAACATAATAGATGCTTTGGTCCTGAGCGCTAGGGCAAGAGGCATTATTCCTCAGCATTTGGAAACATTTACTACAACATGCCACAGGACAAAATATCCAAGCATTTGGTATATATTAAAAGAGCTTTACATCCGAGATCTGAAATTGAAAGTATAACTCAACCAACTGCTCTACATTAGTTGGAACTGAAATACAATTTAACATGCATGAATGTCCATATAACCCTTTAAACTACCAGCAAAATGACTTTAGATGCTGGTTTGCTGGCATCCCAACCAGGCTACTTAACTAACTTTTCCTTAGACACGTAGCTGAACTGAGAGAAGACATGAAGTTAGCTCAAGAGATGTTTTGAGAGGCTTCTTATCTATTCCTCTTGGTCAACTTGAAGAGTTGTTGGTGCTAGAAATGCCAGTGTCATGGTTCGACTCCCAGGAATGACACATAATGATAATATGTACACATTCAATGTACTGTAAGATGCTTTGGATAAAATCAACTGCTACATGAATAAAAATTGTGTAAATAAATGTATAGATTGTGTGCAGAACTCACCCTCTCTGAACTCTTGTTTGCTGTACTGTTTGGTGACCTTCACCTTGAAGACCGTAAACTTACAGATGTAGGCAGTTAGTCTGGTTAAACTCTGCCTGCCTGAGCCAACGATACCAACCAGCAACATGTTCCCCCGGAGCTGACTGATCACACGCACCAAACGCGTTACTGAGGGGGCAGAAAGAGGGTGTTGTTTCCATCATAAGAATCATAACAGTTCATTTACTTGCATTTATCATGTGTGTCATTTGGTCAATGCAACATTTACAAACACATTAAAATGCCAATGCATACAAACACATAGGCACACATCATTCCTGCAGGAGGCTAAACAAACAACTGATCACAAAAGAAACGAATTGCTACAAAACCATAATTAGTTACGAACACGTCGGCATATAAACATATACGTTATGCTTGCTAATTTTGTAATCAATCAGCTATGCACAGCGGCATGTCATTGAACTGAGTGTTCGTGACGTTTGAGACACATTCAACGAGCTGAATGTGAGACTGCCTTAATGTCACAGTGCGGCATGTGTGTGACAGGATGCATATAAAGCATTCTTATATACGCCTTTGACAGTAAATGTCTGCATGCGGGTGAGTGACATATAGGCTGGGGAACCGGCCACCTAATTATTCCCCCTGCTGAGGGGTTTGTAATGCGATTGCGTTCTTCTTTGTGGGAATGAGAAAGGTAATTATTCATGCTCGTGGGGGACCTGAGGGCTGAAGTGCACGTGATTTTGAAGAAAGTTATATTTGTGCAAGCACTGAATGAGAACTGAGGAGATTGGTCACTGAATTATGGGACTTGAGAGTGCGCACTGAATCATGGGTATTGTGATGGGGACGTACGCAAATGATGAGAGCTGTAATATAACTGTGCCATGAATATTGATGGCTCCAATAGAACAGAACTAGTGAAATTTGTTTTTTATATGATGTCATCATTCAATGGCACCTTGATAAGTTACAGAGACAGTCACCCAAAAGCAACTTCACTCAAATGCACAATGGTGATAGCTCTTGGAGTTTCTGTTGCAGGTTTGCAATCTTTTGGCTCAGATCTTCCCCACTAAGTTAAACTACTCCGTTCACTCTGAGTGTGCTCTCACCATGTTCTTTAGTCTCATCTCATCATAGCCCAGACTCATGGGCACCACACCAGGTGTGAAGTTATAGTCCTCTAACTGGTTCTCCATATGAACCTTCAGAGCTTTGAAGTCCAACATATCTTCATACACAAAACATACAAAGTTAATATATATGTAGGGCTGGGAGAGTAACTTAAAAATTAATAATCAATTACTTAAAAAATAAAAATGAAAATAAATAATTTTGCTAATTATCTACCAATTTACTAGAGTGTATGTTAAGAGCATTGGGTGATTCATTTTATTTATTAAAAAGTGGGCCCGTGGATTAAGTTAAAAGTTAAAAATATCTTGAATTAACTGAACTGATATTTGATCATGTGGAAGCAACCAATGCATTTTCAAATTAAATTTTTCATTTTAAATATGTCTATTTGTTAAAGTACATATTTATTTAAAATTTAGTTTTTATTTATTGATATACACTACCGTTCAAAAGTTTTAGGTCAGTAAGATTTTATTAAGTAATACTTTTATTCAGCATGGGAGCATTAATCAAAAGTGACAGTAAAGACATTTATAATGTTACAAAATATGTTCTTTTTTTAATTAAATGCTGTTGTTTTAATTTTTCTATATATAAAATGTTGTCCACATTAATAATACTGAGAATAAATGTTGAGCACCAAATGAACATATCAGAATGATTTCTGCAAGGTCATGTGACACTGAAGACTGGAGTAATGGCTACTGAAAATTCAGCTTTGCCATCACAGGATTAAATTACATTTAAAAATATATTAAAATAATAAAAAAAACTTTTATTAAAAAATATTGTATTAACATTTGAACAATATTACTGTTTGTACTGTATTTTTTGACCAAATAAATGCAGCCTTGGTGAGCATAAGAGAGCTCAAACTTTTGAACAGTAGTTTATTAAAAAAATCTTTAGGTCATTCACCCAGTGAAACACAAATTAGCAGTGTGTGTGTGTGTGTGTGTGTGTGTGTGTGTGTGTGTGTGTACCAAATAGAGGGAGCTGTTTGTTGGGGCAAATTGTATGGTAGGGGTCATCGAAATGAGAAGCCGTGCCTGTTTGTACCTGAAGCACTCATGAATCCAGAGGCGGGTGATGCTCTGTTTGGTGTCATGGAAGTCTTTGTGTGCTCGCAATAAACCCTGGAACACCTGCATTGGAGGACATATTGAACATGCACAAAGCCTGAAGTCTAATTTCTTGTTTTTTGTCTGATCAAGCTCAAAAGAAATGCTCTAAGTGTCCTTGCAGTCTCAGATGCTTTCAAAGAGTGTTCTGAAAAGGTGTTATTTTGTACACCATGTATGTGTCTCTGATTAAAAGTGAGAGACAGTATTTTTCGGTCAGTCACTCTTTTCCTCAAACACATCTGAATCGCAGGCTTGTGGTGTTGAAGTGGCAAAGTGAACTGATATGTTTTATTTAATCTTTCTGGAATCAATCGGTCTGACTGGAGTAATGGCTACTGAAAATTCAGCTTTGCCATCACAGGATTAAATTACATTTTAAAATATATTAAAATAATAAAAAAAACTTTTATTAAAAAATATTGTATTAACATTTGTACAATATTACTGTTTGTACTGTATTTTTTGACCAAATAAATGCAGCCTTGGTGAGCATAAGAGAGCTCAAACTTTTGAACAGTAGTTTATTAAAAAAATCTTTAGGTCATTCACCCAGTGAAACACAAATTAGCAGTGTGTGTGTGTGTGTGTGTGTGTGTGTGTGTGTGTGTGT